TCACCCTCTTAGTGAACGCAGAGAACCCCAACACAATGTTAAAAATCTTCTCTCAAAAGTTTCCAGAGGAGATGGGCATAAATTAAAAGAAGACAAAGAGATCCTTGCTTTGGGCAACCTTGTGAATCCCTCACAACTCTCCCTCAGTTGATCTCTCACACTTCACTCTCATAATCTCTCCTAAATACTCACACTCAAAGGCCACTCTCAAGAGAAATTCGTAGCAAAGGTCTTTAAGTCAATTTTTAGGACTCATTATATAGAAATTATAAGAAAAACCATTCAAAAAACTAAAAATTACAAGTGACACGAGTTCATATCGTAAAGTACGATCTTGGATCGTCTGTACGAATAGTTCAAAAATCCTAGTACGATCCTATACGAACCTAATTTCATACACTAATAGTCGTTTGTATGAACTGACATCTTACTGTATGAATAGTTCAAAACTTAACAAGTTCGTCTGGTACATTATGGTATGAACCTTATTTTGTATAATGTCAGTCGTCTGTATGAACTAATATCCTACAGTATGAACAATTAAAATAAATCATGCTCTATTTGGTACAAACATTAATGATCCCTATTTCATGCACTATTAGTCGTTGTCTGTACGAACTAACTTCATACCATACAAATAGTACTAAAATAATTGAGTTCAATTGGGATGAACTAATATACACCCGATTATGTATATTGTCAGACATCTGTACAAACTAACTTTGTACAGTACTAACAGTAAAAAAATACAAACCATGATTTAATTAATGACATTTTGGAGGAAACATATGAAAATCGTATAGTACACTTGAATGTTGTACAATATGATTAGTTTTAAAACTCTAAATTTTGACTCTCTCTTCCTGTGTGTGTACACGGTTACTCAATTACAATCACACTATCTCAAACTAAATAAAATGAAAATTAAGGATTTATAGACTTCATTAAATGAAATCCTAATCTACTCTATCTTGACGTCTTCAGCAATCTGGAGTATGATCTCTTTGAAATTTTAGTACACACAAATAACAAACAGAAAATGTCCAGTACATGCTTCGAGAAATAATAAAATTAACATAACAATAATATTTTGCTATAATTAAAAATCACCTTCTCAATCTAGATTCATGAGTTGCAACAAGGTTTCTTGAAATTTATATTTGGGATGGGTTTTCTAAAGCTAGAAAAGGCTAAGTCAATAGGAATCAACCTACATGAGGGTCCTATGAAGAAGGCCTTATACTAAGGAAAAAATTCCTAAAAGTTAAGGTTGTGTATAAGAATATTTTTTTCAACCTTGTTCGAAAGAGATGAATAATATATATTATGGATAAAGTTCTTGCAAGACTGCTCTTTTATTCTCAAATATATGCTAATTATTCTAATTAAACTTGTAAATGCATTTTTTAGCATTGCATTATCTTGTTCTTCTTCAGTGCTCTGACTTTCATGAATTGTTGAACTTAGGGATAATTACCCTACTTTCCAAAATTTTCATTTAATATATGATGAGCATAAGATTAAGCTACAATCTCTTACGAGAACCTTTATAAGCTTAGATTGATACTTATTTAGAGGCCAAAACTTATGTATTCCTAAAAAATTACTTAGGAATTTTTTTTTCTTATTATTTGAACAAGACATATAAGTAAACAGAGACCATTAACCTTATGGAGAGTACAAATTATTATTCATATTTGAAGGAGGGGATTTTAATATTATCATGTCAATACATACTTGCAAATAGACAAAAATAATGAAGCAACAAAATTAAGTATATATGTTACTTTGCTTTTTTCTATCATGCCTTAGGAGATCCTATTCATGAGCGATATTTTACATTTACTTAAATCTTCCAGAGAGGTAGGCAACATATTTGTAGTAATTAATATTTTGTACAAAAACCCACAATTCATACACTATAAAAAAATTAATGATGCACCTTGCATTACAAGTATTTTCATTAAAAAGATTATTAGACAACAAGGATTATGTAAGACGATAGTTTTTGAAAAGGATGTTTGATTTATTTCTATTTTTCTAGAACTCTATAGAAGTTGATGAGTATTAAACTTAAATTCTCTTCTACTTTGCACCTATTATATTATTTTTTTGGATAAAATCTACAAACAGGCCTACATGTTACTTAAAATAAAATGTTATAAGTCTTTAAGGGGAACTCAAGCTACTAATGCTCAAAAAGTTACAATGAAAGAAAAAAATAAACTTAAAAGCTAAAGATTCCCATTACAATACAATTAAAAGAAATAAGAAAAAGCTACATAGACAAAAAGCAACCAAGAAAGAAGGAGCCAAATCCCAATTTAGCAAAAAAACACAAAAACTATAGTATACCCCAATGCCACCAACACAGACCACCCGAGACATAATAAAGAACACCCACCAAACCAACCAAAATAACTCTAAGGACCAGTGAACAACATAGTCACACAACAACAGAACAAGAAAACATGAACAATTACCAACCCCAAACAAGCTCAAGAAACAAACTTAACAACCAAGACTAGAGAACTAGCCCAAAACAAAAAAAAAAAAAAATCCAAAAGGGCCTAAACATTTAGAGAAGGGTCAAAAGAAGCTTTAGAATGAGTAGATTTAGCAATAGCGTGTTTGAAGATTTGCATCCCCTTTTTACCTTTAGAATTTTTTTATCAGAAATAAAAGTAAAACCCTCATTATCAACTTGTACAACATCTAAACTAACATCTGCCTGCAAAACAAAATCATAACCAATACTCACTTCCCCAACATTCCTCACACCATCCAACGAATCATGCAACTAGCTGTCGGCATTGGCATCAGATTTACCATCAGTAGACATAAACAAATGTTGCTTCTCTAAACCAAAAGATACTAAAATATTATCAGATAAAGGAGAAATGGGGATATTAATAATAGGTTCCATATTAAAAAATTCATAATAACTAAACTCATCCAAAGTAACATAAGCAAATTCCTGATCAATATTATAACCCCCAACATCATCCAGACCAGCAACAAAATTTAAAGACACATCAGGCTCATCAGAAATAGCTAGTAAAATAGGGCAAGCATTAAGTTCTATAGAAACATCACCAACATCCATATAAATCGGGGAATGGGAAAAAATATGGGGAGCTAACCGAGAGGTTTCATTTGCAATAGCTGTCATCGGATTGAATCTTGTAGAAGAGTCCTTAGCTAAATTAGAACCAACCATAGTGACATAAGGAATTTTCAGTTCAATATTGTGATCTTCAACATCATCTAGGCTAGCAACCAAATTTAAGCACACCTCAAGATCAGCATAAATAGAAGGATAAGTAGGAGGAATAGTACGTGTCGTAGTGGCATCACCAGCATCCCTAAAAAATGGAGGATGGGCAATGAGAGGTGGAAGAATTTGAGAGGTTCGAATAGCACTAGTAGACACCAGATTAAGGCTAAAAGAAGAAAACTTAGCTAAATGAGGATGAAGACTAATACATTCCTTTTTAAAATGACCCAACGATTTGCAATGATCACAAAAAAAAAAAAAAAAAAAAAAAAAAAATCATCTAACACAACATTTGGAATTAAACCCAAAATTTTTGGCCCAATCCAAACCCTATTCACATAATATTTAGTGATATCCAGTTCCACTAACACACGGGCAACTAATAGTCAGGTACCAATCAAAGTAGCGGTATCAGTTCGAAGTGGACGACGAATAGAGAACCAAGCACGTGTAAGATACAAGGAGCTAACAAATGCGGATGGAGGTTTGCGAAAGGGATCCAAATCAGACCAATGGGAGATTCCTTAGAGCTATCAAATAAAGTCAACCATTTAGTCAAACATTCCACCCACTAATATATGGGTATGTAAAGGTAGTAAATAGGTCACAAGGGACTTATTTAGATTTTTAATGGGAAAATGCCTTACCAATTAAGATTCATTTTTAATTACATTTAGATTTTCTTACAATAACACTATTTCCAAAACAATCAAGCAATTCACATTTACAATATTATATTATTACAACCCGAAAATAGCTATTGACATTGATAATATTCCATCCCATGTATTTTAAAAAATTTCATTCATGTTTATTAAATATTTTAAATTTCTTTATGAATATAAGAAAATAAATTGAATAAATAATATTAAAGATTCACCTACCTTATATTTTTTACATGAAATTAGAGCATGAAATGCAAATTTACATTAAGCTAAATATTTTTTTTTTTTTTATGTCAAGAGCTTTATACTAGTTGAGATACCATATGATGAAATAAGAGAACAAAATTTTTTGCTTAGGTAGAAAGAGAGACCACCATTCAAAGACATATAAAATAAATGGAAAGAACTATAAAAATGCACTTCAGATATTACAAATGAGTATGCAGACTTCAACTTCTTAGAAAAGAGTTCTTTTGGGTTAAAATTTGATGTAGCGTATCATAGGAGTATTGCTATACCTATGCCAAACATACAATCATAGTTAAAAGTTGTCAGCTGAAATATGAAATTATGGAACCTTAAGCGGATAAATTGACTCAAAATTTCATATAATTAATTGCAAAATCCAAGCGTCAAGAAAGTAAAAATGCAACAAGAGAATTTAGCCACTTGGATTTCCACATCACCTAACTTGCTCCAAACAAGGGGTCTCCACTTGCCCATTTATGAATACAACCAACTCTTAAAATTGTGAAACCACATTTAAATGGTGTGAAACTCGATTTTGCTAAAAGTTTCATATAGTAACTTCTTTTAAAAACCATAAGAACATTATATGTATGATCAAATCAGTTTGGATGAAGTTGATACAATCTTATTAATGTACTACAAACACTCAATTTATAAGAGAACTTCAAGATTAATAGCATCATGCATGAACTTATGGGAACAATTATTACATCGCAACCTAGATGAGAAGAGATCGATTCTCTTCTTCCATTATTTTATATATTTTTATATCATAGTAAGTTGGTTTATTTTAAATAAATGACAACAGATTATAGAAATCTATTCAAATATTTTTCAACAGTAGTGTATTTGACATCTGTGTATAGTTGAGAAGCCTCCACTCCGATTGATGAATCTATATCAAAATTTGTAGTTTCTCCCTTAATGAAGCCCGCATGAGAAATTGCATAAAAGAAGGGCCATGGCTCTGGAGTTTCTGTTAGAATTGTAAGGAAAAATATAATAAATATAAGGAAAAAATTGTGCATTCTATATTTTTGGAGATTTTGAGTTTTGGTTTTGATAAATTACCATTTATCTTATTAAGGACCTCTTCTTCAGAAACATATATCCTTTCGAGCGTTGTCCTTTTCTTCTCCTCCCAAAGTGAAACAAGTTCATTAAGGGAGCATATGTTGGCAGAAGGTCTTATGTATAAGATTTTGTTTAGAGTTCTTTCATCATCTGCTGCTTTGATGGCATATGTTGCCATATCATGCTCATCCACAAATATAACTGCAACAATGCAGCATGGTCAGCCAAAACTAATCATGAGGAGTAAGTGTTTTCTTTTTCTTTTTTATTTGTTATGCATTATATACTTTTGAACAATTTCATGCTGGCTTTCATACAAGTAATAGTGAAAATAACATCATATAGTTATAGGTTCATGATTGATCACTTACAAGTCAAGAAAAGTTTGTTCCAACTATAATTTTATTCAATTTTGCATCCAATGGACAAATTTGAAATTTTCAAGCTCGAATCATGTTCAAAGTAGTTGGTTCCAGCCCTCTGTCTTCCATTAACCAAGTCTTCTATGAATTCTATTCTCTTTTAGCTTGTGCATTTTTGTTCTATTATTATCAGTGTAATCATTGTCCTCTTCAAACTTAAGCGAAAAGTCTATAAGATGATGGTGAGACTTGCAATGCTTTATGATGAATGTTTTCCATTAAAAGAGAAGCATAATATTAAGTTAAGTATTGCAGAGATGAGGATGCTCAAGTGGATGAGTGGCTTTACTCTTAGACACTAGATAGTAAATGAGCATGCATGTATGTGAAAAGAATGGAATAGCTCCAGTGGAAGATAAGATGAGAGAGAGTCGCCTTAGATGATTTGGTCACATAAAAAGACGGCCTTCTGATTACCCGGTTAGGAATGGAGATGTATTAGATTTGACTTATGTTAAGAAAGGTAGAGGTAGGCCTAAAAAGACTTGGTTAGAAATAATTAGAAATAACCTTTCTTTTTAGATTTAAGTGAGAATTTGACTCTTAACAGGACACAATGGAGAAAAATGATTCATGTTGCTGATTCCACGTAGTGGGATAAAAGCTTGATATTGTTGTTGCATAATTAGCATAATCATTAATCTTCTTTCAATTTTTATAGATTGATAGTGTGAATTCTCATTTTTAATTCATTCATATGAGTATTATCTACATCAACAAATATATTTTTCATAAATCATTTTGAATAATTTTATACCATAAAAAATTTAATTTCCTCTATACAAAATTAGGTGGCATGGAATCAACCTTTTTCTATGAAAAATAAGGTGATATTTAAGTGTATGTTAAATTAACACTAAAATTAAAATTAACCATCGAATCTAAATATTTCAATGTGATGCAAATAATTTTAAAAATATTTAATAAACCATTAAGAACCTAAATATAGGTATGCATTAAGGGTTTTAGTAATTAATTACCTTTAGTGTTCCCATCTCCGAGGATGAAAACTGTTTCAGTAGGAATTCCAGTTGCTTCTACCTGCCCAAGTCTTGAAAGAAAATAGGAGCAACAAAAGTTGCTTGACACGAAGGTGAAGGGAATACCTTCCTTTCTAATGACTTCTCTTATCTTAACCTTTATTGCTAATACGCTTTTTGCAGGTTCCAAAATTTGAAGTCTCTCAACATCATATCCAAACTCAGATGGGAGGAATCTCTGCATTTCAAATCATTATGCATTTTATTATATTTTTCTACCATTCAAAGCCCAGCAAGCATTTATTTCAAACTATTAAATCGAATGGGATGAATTAAGGATCTAATTCTATCATGATTTTATGTTAGAGATACCTTGATATTTCCTGCCTCTTTAATGGCTGATATTATGCGAGTTTGGTCCTCTAGTTGTGTGCTGGGTTCATGGCCCAATGCTGAGATTACTATATCAACCTTCTTCATTACATCCACCAACCAGTTGTGATCATTCAATTCACCCTACATTGGAACCAGCTCCCTTGAAAAATAAATTAACAACATATAAAGAGAGATTGATAGAGAGAGGAGAGATTATTGGGTTCGGACATCGGACACAGCTTGCCGTTCAGTACTTCACTGTACCAAGTAATACTGAACTTGATACTATAAAGTACTGAGTTCGGTACTTCACAGTACCGAGCAGTACTTAGCTCGATACTGAGCAGTACTGAGCTCAGTACTTAGCTAGGTACTGAAGAACTGAGCTCATATCGAGCTCAATACCGAGTACGGGATGATGTGGTGCATTTTTATTGGGCTCCGGACGTCGTCCAGTATCCGAACCAAATAATTTCCTGAGAGAGAGATGCTATACAAATAAGATATTGACACCGTTGTTCCTGAAAGATTGTATGAGGTTGATCTTCTCGGTGTTGAGAGAGGCAGTGATAGGCCTTACAAGAGCAAAAGTAGGGTGGCCAAGCTTAACGCTGGCCTCAACGAGGTGCCTCCCAAGGTACCCAGTTGCTCCAATGATAAAAATCTTGCTCATACTTCGATGGTTAGAAGAGACGAACAAATTAAGAAGATACCTAATTGAGTAAGCAAGGGATATTTTGTAGAGAGAGTGCTCATCTATTTAAAACAAGAGGATGAAAGATTCTAATCAGATATTTAGGAGAGTAAAGACTTTACACTATTTCTTTTGGAATTATGCGAATAAAAACTTTTTTTTGGGAACAGCGTATCTAATCGCTGCCACCCTCGTAAAGGAGGCACTTGCCGGAGTAATTAATTCATCGGCGGCCTAGCGGCAACACACTTATTTTTTTCCTCACTTAAAGAGTCACGCCGTTTGAGAGAGGAATCGAACATTAGTTGGGGGTATCCAACCACTCTCGCTCACCAATCCAATTAAACACGGTGGGGTGAATAAAAACTTAAACACAAATATAACTAGAATTTATAAAAAAAAAACAATAAAAATTAGTTAAATGAAATGCGAGTATATAATATTTAATTTTAGTCAGGATAATATTAATATTTATCGGTAAATATTATTTTAAAAAGTAAATAGCTGTCAGATATGATAAATTTAAATTTAAATAAACAATTATGAAGTTGTAATAATTAAAATGAAACTTATATTAATAACGACGATGAAAACGACGATATTAAACTGTTCAACTCCTTGGAAATGGTTCAAGGGGCTGTCAGAGCATTGCTTGACTTGAAACAGTTATTTTCTGGCTAACGATGAAGAAATTAATGCTTCTATTTTTTTTTTTGGAAAAATTGGGGGCATAGCACATTTTCATTAAAAAAAAATAGTTACATGATTAAGTATCAAAAATCAAATGTGTGCTTTGCACAGTACAAGAAGAAAATTAAAAAGCTTCTATGAATAACAGAAGTTCTATAACCCCTATAAACATTAAAACTTCAAAACACTATCAAAAAATTACAGATGGAGATAGGCCATGAAGAACGGAAGGGCTATGGAATTGCCGGCCTGGTTGCAGTAAGCAGAACTGCCATCCAAAGGGAAAATTGGGCAATTCGTTAATCCTTGCCCGTATATACGAAACATCCAATCCATATGGGTCAAAATAGCAATGTCAGCACTGAGGCAATCAGAGGCCAACACTATAACAAATCCAACAGATAGCTGGGCCATATTTCCATTTCAATAATTTATAGAAAATAGCTCTTTTGATCTTATGGCAAATAGTAGAAGAAGAAGCAAAAGAACTGACAAATCTTCTCTCATTTCTTGCCCTCCATATGTGATAAACCGAACAATAGATAAGAAGATTCTAGAAGTGCTTAAACCATGTTGTAACACCACTAGTGCATTCAAATGCTTGAAAAATATTAGGCTGGAGAAGCTGACTGCTCATTATAGGGATGAACATGGAGATAACAGAAAATGAATAGTCACATTCGAATAAGAGGTGATTTGTGCTTTCAGTAGCTGTGTAACAAAGATAGCATTTAGAATCCATAAAAATACCTCTAGGCAGCAAAACATCCGCTATCTTAAGGCCTCCCGTAATAGCCATCCAACAAAAAATAGAAATTCTCAAAGAGAAATGCTTGTGCCAAATATATTGATACCAATTAACAATAGAATCATTCCAGTAAAGAAAATTGATGTAAGAGTTGTGATCATTTCCCTTCCCAGAACCCCACAAAATGCTGTCGTTAACTCCCAAATGAATAGGGATTCTAGAGAGGGAATGCAGTATACCAGCAGACAACTTATTGGGTAGCACCCAACCTTGTTCATTTAAAATAATTGAAATTTTTGCAATAAGGGGAAAAAGATTCAAAATTTCTTTCATATATTCATCCTCTTGCAAAAGATTACCATTCATCCAGTGATCACAATAAAGTGATATAGGGGCTTTAAAATTTATCATGAAGTTGTAGTTAACCTTGCAAGAGCTAGCAATCCTACCTAAATTCTTCCAGAACGAAGTGGATTTTATAGTAGGAGGTTTCCAAGGAGATGTTCTTCTCAACATGTTGCTGCTGCATGGAAGAACTGCAACTATTAGTTATATTTGCCATTTGAATGAACACAACACATTACTCTGAAAAATAATTTAACAAAATTTTTTTAAAAAAAACTTTAGGCAACTTCTTTTGCTCAAGATCATGCAACCCTTTTTACATAAAATGAAATTTACAATATAGATGAATTATGTATATTTGGATATTAGATTTCGAGTAAGGTTGAAATTTACAATAGGCTCGCGTTAATAAAATAAAGATACAAGCCCTTATAAGGGATCTAAAGCTTGGTACGATTCAAGGAGCTACAGGCCAAAAAGAAATATAAAAAACCTAACGAGGTGAAGATCCCACCTAATAACAAAAATGAAAAAGAAAAAACTAAAATAAGGGAGGCCAAGAGCTATCACCCAAAAGAAGAGATCGTGAAGAGCGTTAGCAAGAAAGAGCATAGATCCCTGCAAAAAAAAAGGATACCTATACAAAGAAAGCAGGAGGGAAAACCAAATATAACAAGTAACCAACCAGCAAGGAAGAAAGACATAACCCAAAAGGATTAGCACTAAAACTAATCTCCAAATCAAACACAATACATAAGCACAAACAAAACAACAACACCAAATCTAAACTCCCATACAAGGAGGAAAATACGCGCCTAGCACAAAACAGGTAAATGCAAGCAAAACTTAAGGATCAAGCACAAGCAAAACACGCACTTCATGAGAGGAAGTAAACGGACAAGGTGTCAGGAATGAGATAGATAGAAAAAATCAACAACAAATTTCCACGAGAAAACCAGAGGCAAAACCAACCAACCAAAAGCCCGTCAAGAGAAGAGGATACAGTAAAGAGACCATCCCGGAAAAAAAAAACATGAAAGAAAATAGAAGATCAGACATAAAGCATCCCAGCAGCATCCAATATTACAATTCCTTTAAGAAAATAGTGGGCATTAGACAAAACAAAAGACATAGGATTAATACTAAGAGACCCATTCATAGCTAACCACACAGCAGAACCATTACCATCCTTCTTGATGGAGGAAATTATATGCACAAACTTATGAAACATAGACTTAATTTTATGCATAATATAGAAGTTGTTCAAATTCACACTCTTATTCAGCTTGATAGTGTTAACAACCACATCAAGAACAACTTCAATCCAAACACATTGAAAATTTAAAGTGCAACATTCCTCTAGGCCCTTAAAAATGGCATAAAATTCACAGTGAACACATCAAGGATTTGATAGGAGGAACCCAAGCCCAAGATTAACCTACCATTTGAATCCATTATAAGGCAACCAATCCCACATCGGTTATCAATGATAGCAAAGTAAAGAATGATCTTCACTTCCCCCACAGCAAGTCTATGCCACAAAATAAACTTTGGAGCGATACTTATAAAAGTTTATCAATGCTAAGGTTGAAAAACAAAGCCACTATTTTCTATGACAAAAATGTTTAGGCAAAAGGACCCGAACAGTAAACAACTGATGGATCTTAAAACTGAAAGATCTTATAATCCTTTTCTAGTACATCTTAGTCCCCAAATGCTTGTTATTATTCCTCTTATCCTATAACAACCATAAAATAGTTAAAGGAATGACCAACATCCAATGCTCAAAATTATTAGACTAGTCATGACATTTAAAAAAGATAAAACACTGATAGCATGTAAATCAATGAAAATGTTTAAGCTGTTCTAAACAGTGATTTAAACCTTGACAGCCACCGGACCATGAATGAAAACAAAGTTAATAGTTTTGAGGCTAAAACAACATTGACATTTGGGAGCTAAATTAATACCTTTATTTTGGAGCCTTATATTAACCATAATGAAACCCTTCAAAATTCTCCTAGCTAATAAAGAGTAATTGAGAAGGATAGTAGTTAAAAAAAAAAATGGGCTTATATTTATTTCTAAAATAATGTAATTCTTGATTCAATAAAATATTATTTCATTTAAAGTTGTTGCATTGCAGAAGATTCATGGAGGAAGAGAAAAGTTAACAAGGGCACTTTTTTAGTATCTAAATGCTAATGTTATTTTTATACTGAAACCTAGAACCATGTCTTCTTGAATGGGCATGTTGCCTCTAGCTAGAGTATGGGATATTTGGAGAATGGTTTACATGTAACAACAACAATAGCATCAAGTCTTTTTCCCGCTATGTGGGGTCGGCTACATAAATCCATTTTCCCTATTATTTCATGTAAAAGTTTAATTCTTGTTTAAATCTAATAAACAAAGACAATTTATAATATTTTCTAACCACATTTTTTAGGTCTACCTCTACATTTCTTAACATAAGTTAAATATAATATCTTTACTTTCCTAAATAGGTGAAGGTCGTTGTTTTATGTTACCAAATCATCTAAGGCTACTCTCTCTAATCTTATCTTCCACTAGAGCTACTCTAACCTTTTCACGTAAATGCTTTTTTTGTATCCTATCTCTAAGTGTAAAGTTGTTCATCCACCTAAGCATCCTCATCTCTGTAATACTTAACTTAGTATTATGTTTCTCCTTTAATGGCCAACATTCAGTACCATGAAACATTGCAAGTCTCACCACCATCTTATAGAATTTTTCCTTAGGGGGACTTTTCTATCACACAACAAGCCCAATTCATTCCTCCACTTCAACCATCCAACTTGATCTCTATTGATAATATCCCCATCTGTTTTACCATCACTCTGAATAATAGATTCAAGATATCTAAAATGTGTACTCTTATTAATGACTTGATCACCCAAAGACATAATCCACTTAATAGGTCTATTACTACTAAAATTACACTTTACATACTCAGTTTTAGATCTACTCAAGAGAAAACCTTGAGACTATAAGATTGGCCTCCATAATTCAAGTTTACTTTCAACTCCCTCTATACTTTTATCAACAAGAAGAATATCATAAACAAAAAGCATACACAAAGGTACATCCTCTTACAAATGTCTAGTGAGAACATCCATGACTAAAACAAAAAAGGTATGGGCTTAGGGCTGATCCTTGATATAATCCAACCAAATTAGGAAATTATTTGGTCAAACCACCTTGTATTTGAACACAAATAATAACTCCTGCATACATATCTTTAATGATTTGAATATAAGTGTTATTAACTCCTTTCTTTTTAATAACTCTCCATAGCACTTCTCTTGGAACTTTATCATATGCTTTCTCTAAATCAATAAATATCATATGTAGATCCTCCTTTTTCTCTCTATATTTCTCTATAAAACCTCTCAATAAATGTATATCTTCCATAGTAGACCTTCCCGGCATGAATCCAAATTGATTTTGAGAAACATTAGTATCACCCCGCAACCTACACTCTATAACTCACTCCCATAATTTTAAAGTATGACACATTAACTTAATTCCTCTATAATTTGCACAATCTCGTGCATCACCTTTATTCTTAAAAATAGGAATTAGCACACTCATTTTTCACTCATCTGACGTTTTTTTACTCTTCAAAATAGTATTAAAAAGTTTAGTAAGCAAAGAAATTCTTTCATCTCCTAAGCATTTCCACACCTCTATTGTGATATCATCAAGTGCAACAAATTTTTTACCCTTCATTTTCTTTAAAGCCTCTCTAACTTCGGTTTTACTACTACACCGATAAAAACCAAAATCTTTATTTTCATTTAGGGTGCTAAGGTCACTAAATTCAATCATATTTTCACAATCTTCATTAAACATTTAGCAAAATATCTCATACCCATTTATTGAATATCATCATCTATGAAAAATACTTTTTAATCTTCATTCTTAATACACTTCGCTTGAAATAAATCCTTACTACTCTTATTTCTTTGTTTGGATAACTTATACATATATATTTCTCCCTCCTTAGAATGGTTTACATGTGAGATTTTAAAAAATAATAATTGCATATCGTGCCTATCTAATTTGTTTTATAATAGACCCAAAGGTCACATTGTCACTATTATTCCTATGACTGTCTTTTGGCTATTATGGTATGGAAGGAATAATTATAAATACAATGGTGTTAAAATGAGCTCTAATAGAATTATTATTTGTCTCCAAAACAACATTCACCAGCTCTTCCTTACTAAAATGATTAATCTAAAACATTATAAATGTAATATTTCTTGTTTATCTTTCTTTAACATTAATTTTTATC